ATATTATCTAACATTTAAATTTAATATTTAGTAAAAATTAGCTAAATGTAAGAACAGTGAGCTAAATAATAAAAGCGTTAGTAATATTTTTTAACTTTAATTTACACTTGGTGGTGTATTAAATTGTGACACAGAGAACTGCTACAGGTAGCTGCTAGTGCTAATTGTAAAATCAATATCTGTAGTGAGAAACTGATTGGTGTAAAAGTTTAAGAGTTTAAATGATTGAAGCTGTTTTAAAACAGCAGCAGCCCACCTTGATCTTAGCTGCTCAGACTAGCCTTTAGCTCATCAACCTTGTTATAGATTTTTACAGTGTGTTTTAATATTTATACTATTTAGTTTCCTCTCAGATGTTATCACAACGTAATCACAGTTTGACAGACATGATCAGGATGAAGAAAAAAACAAAACAAAAAAAAAACTCAATGAAAGTGTGGACTGAAGAGCAGAAACGTTTTATTTTTTTAACTATCTGTAGGGAGACTGAAAGTCGTTAGGCCTGGAGGGAAGAAGCAGTTTCAGTTTTGCAACATACTTCCTGTCTGACCTGATCCTCCTGCTGCTCTCTGGGATTAAAGAAACTCCCAGACTGGGTAGTCAGGGAGCGGGAGACGTGTTGCATTAAACCAGTGTTACACATCAATCCTGATACCTGACGAATGTGTTGCCTCAGAAACACACAAACAGCTTGTTTTTCCTCTAAAAGACCCATCTGCATCACCTCAGGAATAAAGCTGACAGATACGTGATGTGAAGGAATTGTTATTGTAATAAAGCTACATAAAAACCTGTAAACAGGTTCAGGATCAGCTGTTATAAAGAGGCAGAAGTCAGACGTGGATCAACAACAAGCTGTGAGTTTGTTTCCTCACATCTGTTAACATCAACACCTCATTCCTGTGGATCTGAAATCCTCACAAACACTCAACATATTTGTCATTTATCAGCAGACGAGTGGTGAGAAACAGATTATTAGAGTCATGTCTCAGRGGAGCTGAGATTAATATAAAACAATAAACAATAACAGCATCTTTTCTTTGTTAGACTGATTAGAACGTGAGAAATGATCATAAAGACCAGAGTTGTAAAGTAACTAAGTATAAATACTTTGTTACTGTACTTAAGTAAAAAATTTGGTTATTTGTACTTTACTTGAGTAATTATTTTCAGTCTACTTTTTACTTCGACTCCTTACATTTTCACACAGTAACACTGCTCAACACAAAAAATTGTCTAAGTATTTTTCAGTTGACTGTAATATTTCAGTGAGCTGAATCCAAAAATCACATTCGTTTTGCTCCATCAGGTTAACGTTTTGAGCTAAGTTGTTTACAATTCTGTTCAAATGCATATTTTATTTCATTTCAATTTTATTTATTTCATGTTCTAGAAATGAAATTACAAACTTATTCAAACTGCAAGTTAATGAGTGATGTCAACCCTGTCCTGTCTTATTACATGAAAAGGGCAGCAGGGGGAGCTCTGACTGTAAACTTTATATGTAAGATAAGCGGCATGAAGGAGAGTAAAGAGAGAACTGAAGCTGAGCTACGTGTGATGCCTGCTCATTCCACTATTTCAACATAGCACAACACAACAACCC